ACATTTTACATGGGGATTGTATATCCCTGCTTCCTCGGGTTCCTTCATCTCCTCTAGAGATGTGCCTAGTTTTACAACGAACTAAGGAAGATGCTAAAGTCGGGACAAACTGACTGCTCTATATACTATACACTGGAATGTAAGTACCGTATTTATATTCCAATTGACTTAGAACTGTACGGTAAATGAGAAGACAAGCAGTTTGTCAGTACAAAAGTATGGCTGATGTTGTAAGTAGTTTTTAAGTGAGATGACATTTGAAGGTACGCAAGAGAAACTCGTCTCTTAAAAAGGGGCACCCTAGTGTGGGGAGGTTCAGAGCTACTGCTCTAGAGGGCTAGAAGTTTGTTTCCCAAAGCTGGCTATGGCCATAGGAAGCTAGTTCCTTGGTGGGGGTGAATTTCTGTGATCCTTTGGCTCAATCCCCTGCTCCAGCTTGCGTTCTTTGGATTTGGCTCTTCCATGGAAAGACTCTATGCATCACACTGACACATTCAAACAAAACTTTATTGGTTGACATTCTGCAAAGAAGGCATTATCTTTGTGATCATTAAGTTGTGGAGAGCAAGGTGTTTTGTAGGGGGGACCAGGGGCTTTCCCATCTATTCCTGAGGATTTAACAAGGTCTCCCAGCTGTGAGAATCCCCAACTGGCCTTGCTCTCAGGAGCCTAAATGGATTCCCCCTACTGAAAATCCTTAGGTCCATTCATCCTCTGGACATAAGCTAAATAACTATGTTCCTGTAACATTGTAAATGCCACCTGCCTGTGACTCCATTTTGGATCACTGTAAATAGCTAATCCTGTTTGGCTTGTTCGAGATCAGGTACTTTCTAGATAGTGAAGTAGCAGAGGATTAGAGTAGGAGGAGAGAAAGAAGACACCACTCCTCATCTTTCCTTCCTTCCAGTGGGCTTCATGAGAGCAGCAGGATGGGAAACCCACTCCTGTTAGGCTCACTGGGGGATCATTTCCAACCCTCAGGCTGCTTGTCAGTGATCTGATATCTGTTTTCTCAGGAAACACACAGCTGTGCTGTAACTTAACTATGAGAGACAATTTTCTCCAGGTTGTATGGCTAACTTTGGACATCCAGCCAAATCACATTTTCTTCTAGGCCTGTAGAGCATATGAAAGGTTCAAAATAACAAAACACTCCTTCCCTTTTGATTATAGGGATATTCAGTCTCTAAGATTACCTGTGGAGATTTCCTGAAGTGGGTTTTTTTCCCCCTCTTTGGTGTGAAAGGGTTAAGCATCCTGCAGGATAAATGACCCAAATTCCACCTTTAAGAATGGAAAATGAGAAATTGCCTCATGTTAATCCCTATAGCTAATTACTGGTGATGCTTGGAAAATAGCTCTTGTTTGGAAGTCTCCATGATTATCTGTTGTTCACATAAGGACTTTGACCTGTCAAGAGAAGGCTTGGTCCTTTTTAAAAAAAATCTCTTATCTGCTTGAGCTTCATCAGAAGTTGATATCTCCAGTCCTAAAATGACTTTACCGTGAATATGGACAGTGGGCTATAACCTATAGACTAATTCTGAAAACTCCTTGCAACTATAAAGCGCACCATCTATGTGAATTTGATCTAAGAATTGTACTCATGTCTGTGTGTATATATACTGATCTTTTAACTAATGCTCTTTTCTAATAAACTTTAGTTAAGAATTGGAAGGTAATATGTCTGATCATTTGGGATTGGTAGAACTTTCTTGTATGCTAAATGTTCAGCGATCCTCATATTTGACTTGGTCATCTGAGTCCATGACTAGACTACACTGATCTATCGGAAAAAGGCACGCAAATTGTGCTCCACAATTTGCGTACCTTTTTCCAATGGGCCTCTTCTGGGGGAAAAAAAAACTATCTACACTGGACCAAATTTCAGAAAAACCTCCTCTTTCAGAACAGCCCTTCTTCCACATGGAAGGAGGAAGACAGAGCTTCTGAAAGAGCATGTCTGCTCTTCTGCAACAAAACCAAAAAACAAACAAACAAAAAAAGCAGCGCAGAAGAGCAGATGCACTCCCTGGATGCAGCAGAGTTTTTCCAGGAGGCCTTAGTGGAGACCTCAGGCTGGATTGTTTTTCAAGAGCTTTAGGGCACTACATCAAGCTGTCTGTCCCACTTCCTACTTCTACTTGTTTTTA